GGACATCATGCTTGGGAGGGTGGAGGGACAGCCCAGGAGAGGAAGGCACTCTATGAGGTGGATTGATTCAATGACTGGGATAACTGGGATGGGAGTGTCAGAGACAGTGCGACTGGCACAGGACAGAGCAGAGTTTAGGGCTGTTGTACATAGTGTCGCTATGAGTCGCAAGCGACTCAAGGGCACATAACAACAAACAACAACAATGCTAAACTAAGTCCATCACAAAAGGACAATATTGTATATGACTTATAAAAATAAATATTTTATTAGGAATAAATATTAGGAAAGGCAGATGGATAAAGTCCAACCTATATTAATTCCCAAGGGCAGGAAAGAGACAAAAAGAGTACCACATTGTTCAGGAAGCACTGACTTACCTCATCATGGCAATGGTGGTAAGTTTAGCCACAGGTACTGGAAACGGTTAATGTTGGTGGAAATGTAATTAATGCAATCAGTATCACTGAATTACAGGTGTAAAAATGTTTTAAAAAGAAAGGAAGTTTAACTAAAAACTAAAATTTATAATAGGAAGAGTAAACATGAGATGGTTTTAGCACTACTCTAAAAAAAGAACAAACATGGATCTAATTAAGACTACAGATAGTATGATTATGTGACAAGAGCAAAATCTTAGCACTTAGGAGCTAAAATATATTCATACTTACTGTGTTCTGCCAAGTGGGACGCCTCCCCAAGCCAGAAACTGCTTGTTGGATAAAACTGATGGAATATCTGAACAGCAAGATCCAGGTGTTAGAGATTTATTTCCCGAAGATACTACTTCACCTTTTAACACTACTTCATACTGAGGTCCAAATGGCTGCACAAATATTTTCATGATCCTGACAAGGAAAGTAATAAATACTGAATGTCCTAGTTGCATTTGGCAAATAATTCCTGCATGCTTCCTTGGACTAATCGCTGAGGACTACCATCCTTAGAGATTTATAGTCTCTGAAAACCTGGTGGAGGCTGAGCTATGAATCAATTCCACTTGATGATAATGAGTTTGGAGTCTGAAAGTTTCCCACGTGAAAGCAATAACACAACAGAGTTGAGGGTAAGTGCTCAAATATATTTGTGAAGGCCACAGCCTTCTCTTATTCTGTAAGGTTCTGAGAGCAGAGTGTATACATACACTACAGCTTCCATCTTGGGACAGTAAGTTACAGCAGGTAGGTCCCAGATGACAGATTTCTCTCAAGTTAGTTTCATGGAAAACAGATGAGAAAAAAAATAATTGAGGAGGAAACCAATGGTTTCTTTGGCAAGAGAGAGAAAAAAAGAATGAGAACATCTAAATTAACATTTTAAGTACTAACTTTCGTTAAAATATATTTTAAAAATAATTATTTCTTAATTTCTAGTTAGTTGGTTTAAAGGGTATTTTTAATAAATAAAATGAGGAAAATCTGAAAAAGGTTAAGCAGAGCTATATAAGTATTTAGGAGAAATAAAATATAAATTATGAAAAATGTACTTTATTAGTCAGGCTGTGAGGTTGTTCTGAAAGATAAAAATAGACATGTCATTATAAACAATTCTATATTACCTTTGTTCACAGGCTTTGTAATCTTCTGGAGTAAATGAAACTGTAACTTCACATTCTTCTCCAGCTTTAAGGAATAGATTTTCTGGTTCCACTGAAAAGTGATTTCCTTTATCTGGGATCTGAATATTTAGAAAATTATAATGGAAAGCCTACATATGCAAATACAGTTTTTACTCAGTTACTCTTCTGGTTATGTCCTTCTTAAATTTACTATGGATTGCATCCCTATAACCCCCACCATTCTCATTTCTTCATCACTAGTGACCTCCCACTTACTACGTCTCAGAAACAGTCTGTGGACAATGAGAATCTTTTCCAGTCTTCACTGAGTGGAACACACACTTTTCAGAAACTAAACTAGAATGTGGTTTTTATACTCAAAATATTAGACCTCCAAGTTCAAGTACTGTGTTTTACACTGGCATACCATTCAAGTTTTTTAATACAGAGACCAGTCTTATCCTCACAACACTCTGACAGAGCAGGCAGCACAACCACTTTCACAATGACATCTATTAAGAAGTAGTACAGGGATAATTTGGATAAGAATTCTTACCCTGATATCTAAACAAACATCAATGTTTCCAGCATTTTTCAAAGGTAGGTTTTGCTTTGTTGAAGAAGCCATGCTGGCGAATAAATGAATAGACTAGAGGATAGAATAAAACAAGCATTTGAGAAAAATTATCAAAATTAAAGAAAATCACCTAAATATAAAACATAAATGGCAAAATGGAAAGCACAGGGTACCTGCAAGTCTTTTGGAGCATGTATCTTAGCTATTCCTGCTCTTGCTCGAAGTTTAATACTTTTAATAACTGGGGTAGGATTTGGACTATCAAGTTCTATATCAACTCTTGCCAGGAATTCTTCTGCGAGGTCCAGAATGTCTACAAAAATAATCATTCTTTCAGTTCAGAAATGTATTGTTAATGCTATGCCCCTCCACGTCTCAAGCACACCCACTATCTGGGTGTCTATTTCCTCTCATGGCCATCAGATTGTTGAGATCAAATCTCAATGGGAGCTGGTCGCCTCATCTTGCTCCCAGGAAACAACTAGCAGATTCAAACTATCATCCTTTCCGGTAACAGACTACTACCTAGCTCACTATGCCAGCAGGGCTCATTGCAACTGAGTCAGAAGTGATGCACAACGAACCCTCCAGAGGGTTTCCAGAGCCTGTAAGCACATAGGAGGACACTTCCCATCTTTCTCCCTCAGTCCAACTGGTGGATTCTAATCAGTCATTTCTCAGTTGGCAGTGTAACCCTCTCCATTTACTAGGCTACCAGAGCTCCCTAAAACGGTGCTTTGGAATGGAGATTGCAAAAACATCTTATGCAAAAAAATCTTAACAAATTCAAAAGAGAAACTGAGATAAAAACAAGAGAAAACTGAAAACACAACATCTACCTGACAGGTGTGGTAAGATTAAATGCCAGAAATTATTTCAAAAGATTCAGAGCTCCTAGCTAGGGATATCAACAAATTTAGTTTATCCACAAGATCAGCAACCACAGTAATAGCATTTACTGACAGCAAGTAGCCTCCAATTTATAATTTTTTGCAGCAATAAAGTAAAGGAGCTGACATCCAAGCAGATATATGCACTCCCATGTTTATTGCAGCTTTGTTCACAATAGCAAGGAGTTGGAAACAACCTAAGTGCCCATCAATAAACGAATGGCTAGAGAAGCTGTGGTATATTCACAATGCTGCATTAAAAAATAAGGAACTCATGCACTATTATTCAAAATGGTTGACTCTGGAGAACATTATGCTGAGTGAAATATCCCGGTCACAAAAGGACAAATATTACATGATGCCACGGTTGTAGAATGGGACTGTCCTTGGGGTTGGGGAGAGACTGAGTAAGATGGGTTCAATAATGTATACTGCACTGAAACAGAGGAGAGAGAAAACTGTTTAAAAGAGATATATGACTAGGTACTTCTGTCATCACAGGAGTCTAGAGCGATGGCTACATGGTGGAGTGGACCTGGGGGAGGGTTTGTAAAACAATGAAAGAATCCTTTCTTTTACTTTTCCATAATTTTTGACTCATGTACTTATAACTTGTTAGTCAAATTTGTGTCTTCTAGGTTGCAACACCCCCATGATACATCTTCAAGGATATGAACATGTATGGCCAAGCACAATCAATAAGAGTGCATCTAAATTCCACAATCAATCTCCATAATAGTCTATGTGTTTCCTACTGCCAAAGGGGCTCTTTAGAGTAGTGAGAGAAGATCTTCACCCTGAAACCCACAGCGTCCCTTTTCAGCAGGAAGTAGCTAAGAGAATATGCCATCCCCTTTTCCTTATGACTCAGGGTGAAGTCTCTCTCAGGGAGGAGTGATAGGGAATGGCAAAGGACACACTGACAAAGGAGATTAATCAGAACTGACTTTGACAAGCACTGTGGCAATTGGACAATTAAAATAGACATTCGGATGGCGGGGAAGAAGAACAAACTGGGGAGGAGGGTGGAGAGAATGGTGCGGCAATGAAGGAGTGAAAGCCCAGAATCCCTGTGAATGTTCATTGAAACTAATAAAATTTAATAACAATATAAAAAAAAATAAAGGAGTTCTTACACACAATAAAAGTCATGAACCACAACAAGATAAAGGTAAACAACTCAAATGAAAAATGGGCACAGGATATGAACAGACACTTCAACAAAGAAGACATTGAGATGGCACACAAACACATGAAGAAATGTTAAAAATCCCTAGCTCTAAGAGAGATGCAAATCATAACAACTATGAGATATAATCTTACCCCAGTAAGAATAGCAAATTTTAACAGAACGGTAACTAGAACCCTTACTCACTGTTGGCTGGAGTGTAAAATGGTGCAACCACTATGGAAGGCTATATGGTACTTTCTCAAAAAGTTGTAAATAGAAATACCATTTCAAATCCACCAGATGCTCTGCTGAAGAAGGAGGAACAATCTCCTCCTGTACCAGTCAGATCTGATTTGACAGTACACACACAAATAAAAATTAAAAAAAAAAACCATTTGACTCAGCAAATTCCACTACTGGGAATATACCCCAAAGAAACCAAAACTGGCACCCAAGCAGATATATGCCCATCCATGTTTATCGTGGCTTTGTTCACAATAGCAAAGAGTTGAAAACAACCTCAGAGCCCATCAACAAACAAATGGACAGAGAAGCTGTGGAATAGTCACACAACGAAATACAACAGTACATTGAAAAACAAGGAACTCATGAAATATTATACAAAATGGGTGGCCCTGGAGGACACTATGCTGAGTGAAATATGCCAGTCACAAAAGGACAAAAACTGCAGAGGGCCACTGTTACAGAACGAGACTGACATCGGGGTCGGGAGGAGACTGGAAAGATGGGATAAATTATGTATATTGCATTGAAACAGATGAGGAAGAGCACTGTTTAAAAGGGATATATGATTAGTTATTGTCATGACAGGAGTCCAGAAGGAAGGCTGCATAGCAGAGTGGACTTGGGGGAAGGGATTGTATAACATTGAAAGAATTTTACTTTTCAAAGAGAAGAGCTAACAGGGGGTGTGGGTTGGACAGGGAGAAAAGTGAATAAATGAATGGAAACTTTGTAAACTTTCATTAAAATTAATTTAAAAAACCACCAAACCAACAAACAGTAAATGTCATACCTGAAGAACAAATGTGATTTTTTTGATTATGGAAAAGAACCCAAACTATAAAAAATTCTGGATCCTGTGGAATTAAAAAAAACAACAAACATTAGCATTTAAAATAATAATGAAAGAATGTTGAGGGGAAAAAAATAAAGGCAGTTTAAAAATATAATTTTTTTCCCACTTCTAAACCAGTTTTTCCACTCTCTCCACATACCTGTCCATCATAGCTAGCAGGCATCACATGATTTATCACAGATGTTGTTGCTACTTGAGCAAAGACATCAGCATAGGGAACTCCTTCCAGAGAAGTAGTAACTGGTTCCTTAGAAAATGTGAAGCAGTGCCAGCTGCTAGCATTCTGTTCAGAAAGAAAAGATACCTGTCAGGAAAATTAATAGTTTTTAAAGACCTAGGATGATTACTAAAAATTTTACTTTCATAGAAAATAATTAGAAAGAACAGTAGGAAGAGAATGTACAGTACCAAATCAGCACATTTTGAAGCAATTTCTTACTATTTTAGCACTCACAGCATTTATAACAAGTCTGATCGGCACAGTGGTGTGTGTTCTGTTTATCAATTTTAATGGGAGTGCTTTCCAGCCTCCATAAATCAAGTCACCAAAGTCAAGAATATCTTTCTTTTCTGTTTCTACCTAATGATAAAAAAGGAAGAAAATATATTAGTAAATACCTATTTTACCACAACAGTAACATTATAGATAAACTTCCTGTTTTCCTTGTAACTACATTTACTATTTTCTACTGAAATGCAAATTATTCTTTTGAAGTTACATATGTAGAAAACAAAGGAATGTCTTACATGGTCATAAACTAAGCTGGCAATTTTAAAAAGTATTTAAGTATCTTTATTATGAACTTTATTAAAATATTTACATCTCAAGCTCCTTAAAAACATTTTGACAAGGGAGCTCTGGTGGCCTAATGGTAAGAAGTTGCAGTGCAATCCTACTACACTGCCGTAGTGGTAAAGACAGCATGGTACTGGTACAATGACAGACACATAGATCAATGGAATCGAATTGAGAATCCAGAGATCA